GAATCGAATCGTTAAACAGAATCGAAAATGGAATCGGAATCGTGAAAATCTTATCAATACCCATCCCTACATCAGAGAAGGGGTACAGGAGTGAGTGCCGCCAAATGTAAAATGCAGTGGTGGTTCTGTCATGGTTTAAAGTTGCATTTCAGCCAGAGGTGTAGGGGATGTTTTTAGAATTGATGGAATTGCAAGTGCGGAAAAGTACCGTCATGTTGATCCGATGCCCAGTGCAGTCTGGAAAGCATCCAATTGACAACAATCCTAAACACACTCCCAATGCAGCAGAAGCATGCCTGGCCTACCCAGAATGCAGACATCAACATTAGTGAAGCAGTGAGGGATCATCTTGACAGACAATGGAACAAAATGCAGCCAACATCCAAAGAAGAGCTTTAAATGTCTTTCAAGAAGCCTGGAGAACTGTTCTTGAAGACTGCTTAGAGAAATTACAAGAAAGTCTGTTTCCCTTATATACTGTATTTCCATTTGTGATTGCACGTTTCAACAAATCACAGCACCCATTTCCTGCTTTGCTAGCAAAATGTAAGCAGGGCCTTAAAACTTTTGCACAGTACTGTATATTTAGTTGAAAAGCTTTTACTTGTACTGAAAAGTCATTTTCAGGTAAAGTGCAAAAGGTAAAGATAACAATAAGCAAAGCAGATGGAAACTGAAGAAAGGAAGAATATAAAATGCACTTTTATAATCTGCTGCGATTTTTTTTTTCTGCACATAATGTAGTGAGGGAAAAGAACAAATCAAAGCAGAACAAATTATACTCTTTGATAATATTACATTAACACATGCAGCATTGTTTAAAACTTACATCCCTTTTCTTTTTCTTTTTTAACTTAATGACATTCATCTTAGTTCCACTGTAATGACCCCATACATACCAATATTTTCTTTTATTGATTTATTTTGTATGAATTTCTGTCTTCCCCAGTTCTGCTGTTGGAGTGGGTTTCTATGGGAACAGTGAAACCAACGATGGGGTGTACCAGATGAACTATTCACTCTACAATGCCAATCGCACACTGGGTAACATCAACAATCTGGTGAGAGAACCCTGCCAAACTCTGCTCTATATTTCTGCAATTGTAGAATCATAAAAATCAAACGTGTTGTGTTCTCAAATGCTTTGTTTATAACAGCTGAGTAATTGTGGGATGAACTGGCAAAGTGTGTATCAGAGTTGTGTAAAAATATGAAAAAGAATTCTGCAGAGAAAATGCTTCATATATTACTGCCAATTACCAACAATCTGATGATGGCAGAAGCATAACGATAAAGCTCTGTTTTACAGCTGATAAACACCGCAGCTCCTCCACTTTAATGGGCCGTGCATCTGTCTCAATGCAGCAGCACCACCCCACAGGGGGTCTGTATCCACTTTTTGTCACAGTAAAGGAATTGAGGTGCCTGCTGTCTCAGGATTTGTAAATAGGGATTATTTCTGTACAAGTCCTGACCTGCATTCGAGGAAGTTGTTTGGGAGGCTTAGGGTTGATGTGGGAAAGGAAGAGGAAGGAGTGCAAAGGCATCAGAAAAGGGCCTTGCAAGAAGCAATAATCACAATGAGCAGGGAGAGGATTAACTCCCATCTGCAGTGCATTAATGGATGCTAAGCTTCTGCTCTTTCGATCACGCTCAGTCTCACTATCTCCACTATATGTGCGTGTTTGTGTACATGGTGGTGTCGGTATCACACGTGCTCTTAAAGTCCTGATGTGCACACATATTGTATTAATGTATGAACACAAACAGATTAGTGATCATGCTAAATATAAAAAGATGCATATTTCCTCATTTTTGGTTAGAAAGTAAGTGTTAGAACATTTTCCCTAACAGTAAGGTCTTGATTTGGTGTAATGGTCATAGGGAAAGCTCTGTTAGTTTATACCTTCATTGATATAAATGTGCCTGACAACATTTATCACCACAAACATTTCTCTTTGTCATGCAATATTCAGCAGCATCACAAACTGTAGCCTCAAAAATGAGGTTGGATCGACACCTCTCTAAAGCAGTTTCACACACAAACTAAAACATTATGGCCTTCATAATAGGCTGTATATATTTCTGGGCCCTTGTGTTGTACTATATTATTTTGAGCTTGGTAGAGCAAATAACCTGGAAAAGGGTGTAGTGCTTTTGTGCTGTGGGAAGTAAATGGGATTTGGCTTTGGTGATTCTGCATCCTTGCTACTGATGCTCTCTGAGGTATCTTGGTATTGATTTGATCCTAGAGCATGATGTACTGTATACTATGGCTGCATGAGAAGCTTAGATGTTCCCCCGGGGATACAAAAGCATTCTCTGTAAAATGATAGTTTGATGCAGTGTACTCTACTTACAGAGCTGATGAGCTTACTGACGGGTACTCCTGCAAATCTGAAGGTGCTTTAACTTGTGTTTGGTTGTGTTCTTGACCTTTCATTGATATTTTATTGGATTAAAGTTAATTATTTCAGTAATTTGCTTTAATATAAAGACTATTTTCCTTTTCTATTTTGCATTTCACATTCTGAGTTAATATCATATCTGTCGAGTAAAGTAAATGGGAATGAGAACAACCAATCTCTACTTCCCCGGGGCTCCAGTGAGGGTTGAGATTTACAGTAGGAGCTGTTTAGCTCTACTGATTGCTTTGTAAGGCTCTTCTAATCACAAAATATGCACTCTTACACTCTGCGAGGGATTATCATGCATCATAGAAGGAAATATTTGATAAGGAAGACAATTTTCCCTTTGCTATTGAGGCTTTGAATGTTCACAGCAATCTATATTTCATCCTTATATTCAGTGTTCAGGTTGCAATATTGAGGGCTCTTCAGTGCTTCCACAAAATTATGGATGAGAAAACATGGGAGCCATACTCGATAAAAATGTGTGCCTCCAATATACAGCAGTGGTAACTCTCTTACATATAATTCTTCTTCTTTTGAAAGTGAAAGCTGGCTTGTGATTCTTGGAACAAAATGATTGCGGCTTCCTGCACCATACATCAGTTCCCTTTAAATGTCTCTCCTCAGGGTCTTATTTCTCAATGTATAACCTCACTTCACTTTAAAGTGCTATATTTTGTTTTATTGTCACACCTAATACAGTTAATCTTATATAAAAATCACTGAAGGCATTAAGCAGAACAATTCGGTTGCATGTTAAATTGGGCTTTTGAGCAGAGCCGCTCTGAGCCCCAAATCGGTCTCATTTAACAGCCATGTCCAAAATGGAGACTCCTCCTTGTGACCCGCTTTCAGTAAAAGCGAGCTTTAATCCATTTTAAAGAAAGACGGGACAGTCGAGATTAGGGAAATGTGGATCACCCAGAGCAGCTAGCTGATTGATCCAATTTCTCACAGGCAGGCAGACTGGCTTGCAGATAAGATTTGAGGCATTGTGGCAGGAGCTGTGAGGGATGATGAACATAGAGGTGGGAGTGAGAACACTTTACTGGCAATCGTACGCTCCACCCCTTGGGATAGCTGGATTGAAAATGGGCTTTATCTTTGGTGCATCTCTACATGGATCAACTTTCTAAGGTCTTACTCAAACCATCAGGCACTTCAGCTCAGTAAAATTTAATCAGAAGTATTTGAAAAGTTGAAGTGTCAAGGAGAAGTAGATACGTGTTTATCTTTGTGGTGAGTTTTCATAGTGTGAGAATACACAGGCTTCCTCAGAATTCTTCAATGTGTTGAAGAAGCCGTGGTTATAATGGAGGAAAGATAATAGATAACAAAAGCAGAGCTGCTGCATACTGTCACAGATTAGAATACAGAAAGTAGCATCTGTTCAGAATTAGTGGGGCCTCCTACTCACTGTAACGTTAAGTGCTCTAGCAAAGTCATTTTGGTGGGGGTGTCAAACTAAACTGAGCTTTGGAGATCTCGAAGGGATTTTTTTAAATATCTAAAAGTACATAATTTTTTGCCAAAAATCAAGCTTGTTTTTTAATCATTGTTGAAGGTTTTTCCTTAAACAGATAAATAGTCCAGCACAAAGACTGGAAATTGCAAACTTGCCTCAATCTAAAGATACACAGATCCACCGATATTCTTTTAAACGGTTTGAAAATAATTCACCATTATTAGCAACAGAGATTGGCATAGAGTCCCTGCTTAGAGCTAGATGCAGCTGGGCACAGCCCAGGTTGTAATATAACAGATGTTAGGCTGTTTTACCCAGTGTCTAGTCTTTGTGCAAAAGTTAAACCGACAGGAACATGTTGCTCCCTGTTGTTTATCCGACTGATGATAATCTCAATCTGGCCAATTTCTTTCCTATTCCATCCCTGTGTAAAAGTATCAGTAAAAATAGAAGGCCACACATTGCAAATTCCAACCAAATTCCAGTTTTAGAAAGACGAGATATGAAATGTGTTCGTATTTATTGCTTTCAAAAAGTATCTGCCTTTCATGCAGGTCAGTGAAATCGGTGAAACGTGCCAAATTTTAACTAGTGCAGTATCCACAATGCACTCACCAGACACTGACATGATCGCATGGTTGCTGCAGATTTGTCAGCTGCACATCCATGCTGTGAATCTCCCACTCCACACATCCCAGAGTAGCATTATTGGATTGAGTTCTGGTGACTGCAGAGGCCATTTGAGTACAGTGAACTCACTGTCTGTCAGGAAACCAGAATGAGATGACCTGAGATGAGATGATCTGAAAAAACATTGTGATGTGCTTGCTTTGGTGTTATATTTTCACTTTCAACAGTAGGATTACCCTTCCATTCACATTTGCAGAGCAGATTGTGTTACTAATAGAGATGGACCGATCCGATATTACGTATCGGTATCGGTCCGATACTGACGTAAATTACTGATCGGATATCGGAGAGAAATAAAAAATGTAATCCGAGATCCATTAAATATCAAAAAAGCACCTCACAAAACTTGTGACATGGCCTAACTCGGCTCATAACCGTAGCACGTCGGAGCAGTATGCGTCACGTGATAGAGCGGCTGTGTGTATTTGTAGCCTCGCTACCAAACCAGCATTTCATCTCTGAGGAAGTTATCCCAGAGAGAAGTAAAGCAAGTGTGTAAGTTCATCTCTGAATGTTTGCAAAGCATCCCCGCGTTAAGCTTAACAACCGATATATGGAGCGACTGCCTCTCTCTCTCCCTCTCCTGTTGCTACTTCAATCATGAAACAGATCGATGATCAGCCTATTGGCTTTTCTATCACGAGTCCGTGTTTCTTGTTTGTTTTTGGCCCACTTCGCGCCAGAAAGAGGAAACCAGCAGCTGAACAACAGCAGCACGTTTAAGCTTAAGATGTTGTTAGAATTTATTTAATATTACTTTGTACACCAAGATCCTTTTCTACGTAGCTGATGGCTGGTAACTGTGCAGGGGCGGATCTAGCAAAGTTTAGCCAGGGGGCCGATAGGGCATTAACAGGGAAAAGGGGGGCACAAAGACATACTTTTCTTTCTTATTCTCATTTAAAATGTCTAGCTTTTAATAAATAATTATCTGAATCTTACACCCAAAGTTTTAATCTGATGTAAAATGTATAGAAGTCCATTACTGTATATAGTAACTATTAAGTCTAATATACCCTAGTAAGTTATACTACTTTTTCCTCTGGGAAGGTACCATCTGTGCAGTCTGCAGTTCTGTTGAAGAAAGATGTTGAATCTATTTAATTATTCTTGAAAAATAATTTATTTCTGTGCATTTTTTCCACACTGCATCAAATTAAAGTTGATTACATCGATTAAGCATCACGAGGTGGAGGGTGGGTGGTTCCCTTTTTTTGCTGGGAGTTTGCAACCCTATTAGTTATGTTGCTTAATATGTCTGCTATGTACTCTTTAAGATACCAGAATAGGGAGGATGGAGGAGGTTTAACTTTATTAGATTGATCAGTGTTGCTAAACTATGAAATATTTTTCATAGTTCAGTGTATTTTTTGCATACAGGTATAACAGAATAGCTTTAGTGTTTGTTTGTTTTTTAACTTGAGTATGAACTATACAAAAAGCAGCAAGATATTAAAAAAACAGTTTTATTGATTAAAAAACACACTATATCGGAGTCATATCGGTATCGGCAGATGTCCAAATTTATGATATCGGTATCGGACATTAAAAAAGTGGTATCGTGCCATCTCCAGTTACTAATATCACTTTAAAAGAGAATAATACACATAATGAGGTCAAGATATTGTGGTTTTAACTCTGTTTCCCATTAGTGTTTAAATCTACTTGTTTCTAGTTCTGTTGCTGCTGTGAAAGTAGAAGCATTTGCTGTGTCACATTTTTTTTAATTTCTTTTTCTTTTTTTCTTGTTCAAATAAAAAAGGAAAATGTATTTGCTCTTTTCTTCCATGCTTCCACCCACTCTGTTCTCACTATCAAAGACCTGTGTGATAAGAGGTCTCCCCGGTTTTCTTATCAGTATTCTACTCTAACATTGTTTATCTGAATAAAACACATGGTTGAGGAGAAAAGTTAATCTTTTCTCGAGTGAGTGGTTCTTTGTTTCTTTCACCTTTCTCTATATTTTCAATCAGCTTTTAAAAGAATATTTGTTTATGAGTTTATATTCCTGTTTCATTCTGACCCTATTTTCTCTTTTACTTCTTTTGACCCCCTTTGCCTTTTTATTTTGTCCTCGTGGTCTTCTATTCATTCTTTATGTTTTTTATTTCTCTTTGCTTTTTGTTTTTTAGGTTGCAGGCTCACTGGGCAATGTGGAAACTGCACTCAAACAGCACCTGGAACGCCTGGATGAGATCTTTTCTACGAGGCCTGACTACCTTCAAGCTTTACGTTTTATGCAGCTGATGGTCAACAATGTCATCCGTGAGCTGACTGTTCTTCCAGACATCAACAAAACCAATTTCGACTTGGCAGCCATTGCAGACCAGACAGCCTTCATTGAGTATTACAGGTAGGTGGTGCCTTAATACATCCCCTGGGTAGTTCACTTTTCTTTTCTTTTTTTATCTGCATGTGAATGAAGTAAATGCACTGCTCAGAATGGGACTGTAAGTGATCCAGAACAGGCACAGCAGATGGGATTTTATTGATCTCCCATCCGGAACACAGACCGGAAAAGCTATTTTTCCTAATTGCTAAATAAATGAAAGCTGAAATTGAGCTTTTCCCCCCACTGTGCGGGTTCAACTCTAATATGAATTGCTCTCATAAAACGTTATACGTGGCAGAGTGACTATTAGGCTGTTAATGAGCTCCTTACCTGCAGACTTGTGCTCACATTCATTCCAATTATAATACTGATGCTGTTTTCTTTTTAAGAAATGTGTTCATTTCAAAATGTTAAGAGGGATAAAAAGAATCAAATCAGAAAACAGAAAAAAATATTAAACTCAATCAGTAATAAATTATTCCAAATGAATAAAAAATATTCAGTTGTTAGTGGAGACTAATTTAGAAAGCTTAAAATGCTGCTGTAACAAACTGTGAATCAATTCTTATGATCTTCTGTTGATTCTTTTTATATTTAAGTGCATAAGACTTTAAAGACAGATCATGCTGTGCACTAAGGTTTCCAGCAAGCCTGTTGCCCACTTTATTTTAAGCATAGATTTGAATCGATGAAAATATGTTCCTTCAGGGTGATGTGGTAGCTTCAGCTGTAGGAATTCATTTATTAGTGACACAAGAGGCTCCTGAGTCACACTTGCCTAATGCCACTCAGGAGCTAGGGTTTATCTTGTGTCAGTGTGGGGGATCATACAATATAATTGTCATCTTAGATGTTAACTAAAGTGCTGTTTATAGGTTCAGCTGATAGAATACGCTCACCAGCTGCTTCATTACACCTTACTAGTACCAGGTTGACACCCTTTTGCCTTCAGAACTGCCTTAATTATTTGCATCATATAATCAGTAAGGTGCTGGAAACATTCCTCAGAGATTTTGTTGCACATCCACGATGCGAATCTCCGGTTCCACAAGAGTTCCAAAGGTGCTTTATTGGACTGAGACCTGGTGACTTGCTTTTCTTTCCCATAACTATAGATACAGAATAGCTTCATGTCTTCAACCTGTAGCCATCCCATTGATATGCTTGATATGCTACATAATTTTATTGAGCTAATGCAACTGTGTTCAGTGTGTTCAGAGATACTCTTCTGTGGTATAATGAGTAGTTATTTGAAATACTCAGACTGCCCTGACTGTGGAGCTGAAAGTATGCCGAGAAAATATGCCACAAACTATTAGAACCAACCTGAATTGTTGATATAGAACAGGATGACTCCGTGTTTTCTTACTACCAACATCAACTTCTAACCCTATCATCCAAATGTTTTAGCAGAAATCAAGACTCATCCAGTCAGGTAGCAACTCCAATAATCTGTTGTCCAATTTTAGTGAGCTCATGCAAATTATAAACTCAGTTCCTGCCTTACATGGTGGACTTGCTGTTGCAGAAGACCACACCATGTTGTGTGTTCAGAGATGCTCTCATGCATATCTTTTGTTATAATGAGTGGTTATTTGAAATACTCAGACCACTTTTCTCCCAGCTTGCATGCCAGAAGTAGGTTGTTTAGGTGTTTATGTTAATGGTCCAACATGTTTTCCAATACACCAGCCAGTAAAAGCTGGATGAAAGGTGAAATATTGAAAAAAATGAAAGATTATACTACTTATGCTGATGAAGGTAAAAAAAAATTGTACATTATGGAGGTATTTTATTGCAAACATTTCTTACAAGTGCTTCAGTATACACAGTTAAATTAAATCACTTTCCCTAAAGTTGTGAATATATGCATTCCTCCTGCATGTGTAGCCGAGTGCACCAAGGTAGTTAAAAGCACCATTTATTTCAGGCTCATTTCTCCGTCTCTGTGGAAAGCTGTTTGAGTCACCTAGCCCATAGTTATGTACAGAGTAGGTAGTTTTAGACAGCATCGGATGCATTCAGTTTGCTTACAGAGGATTTGGGTGTTTGTGCCACATACTAAAGGTTTTTGATGCAGTTGAACTCCTCTGTAATAACTGTCTTATATAAAACTTCATTCTACGTGTTTGAACACCTTAATAACTCTTTCATCTATTTGAACTTGAGTGATAAGATAATATAATTATTCTTTTTTTGTTAAATATGTGTATAGGTTATGGAATTCCCTTTGAATGGGATGTACATGTTTCTGTATTTTCATCTATTCCTTTATATCAGCTACAGTATTGATGTCTGTTATTCATGACATTTGAAAAAGTTCAAACATAGCTGCCATTGTACCACCGGTGGAGACATAATATCCGTTCCATTAATTGCATGCATCCATACTCCCATACTCACTTGTTCCTTGTGTCCTATTACCACATCTTCTGTTAGACTGCAGATATTTGACACCAATCTTCTGGGTCATAATCGAGTTTCATGCAGCTATTGGATTGTGAGCTTGGACTCCTGTTTTGCCAGTGCAAACAGCAAATGTCATTATTCAAGACAACAAAAAGACAAAATATTCACAGTTATAATCAAAGTGATGGTTTTGTGAACTCGTTGACTTTCAGACTGAAATATCCCAACACTTACTTGAACTAGAAACCCTGCTAATTATGGTTGGTCATAAGTCAAACTGTAGAAAGGGCTGGGAGAGTATATTGCGTCACCTTGAGGATCTTGTCATTGTATTTCTAATGGCCATTTTAAGCGTAATCATGTTCAACACAATGCCGCTAAAAGACCATAATGTCCAATTCTTGGAAATTATAGATTTTTTTTCCCCAGTATGCTGGAATTGTGGAGCTAACAAATAGTCATAGTCATTTTTCTGTGTTTGGCTGGTCAGACCACACAAACGCACACACAAACATTGGTTATTCTATTCCTGTGAAGGACATTTTCAAAGGAAAATTAAAAATTAATGTATATAGATTTCTGGTGTTGAATTATTAAACCAACAAGCCGGAAATTACCTGAAACAGATGGGCTGTAACTATGCGACATGAATGCTGATAAACTACACAAAGCTCTCACGAGTACTGTTGCAGACATATGTTCAGCCAGTACTTCCTGGTGCTTGTAAATTTGCATGAAATATGCCGCCTGTAAATAAAATGCTTATTTTTCATGTCTTGTAGATGGCTGATTTATTTGCTGCTACTGATCCTGGATCTGGTTATCTGCTTGGCCATGTGCTTGGGTATGGCCAAGCATTCTCAGTATCTGCTGATCATGTAGGTACCCTGACTGTTTCTGTGAAGGTATTCTCTGTACTGTACGTCTTTTGTGTGAGTTCTTTTCTTCTCTTTTTTCACCCCC